TAACTAATAAAATGTATTGTAATCTACTTACTTTGGGTATGTTCCAATTTACTTCCTAATCCAATAGTGTGTGTTACAGATATACACCTTAGTGATGGTGGCATCAAACTGAAGTTATAAAAATATTGAACCAGCTGCTACACATGAACAGCTCCTGAGCGATATTTTTATCTGGGGTTATTTACTAAGTCTCTGTGAGTATGTCTGCCCCTCAGTGAGAGCTAGATTTGTTAAAAAGCCAACCACCTTCCTCTCTCATTAACCACAAATGATACTGCAGATGCTTCGCATTTTTTCCATGAAGTCCTACATCCATCTGTTCCTGATAAATTCACTTGTAGGGAGTTATCCCTATAGTAAGTACAATTGTGGAACGCCCACACAAAGTCACAAGGCTTACAAATTGAGATAATATCCCCTTTTCATGCTAGGAAGTTAATCTGTTTATTTATATGATTTTTGAAAAGGAAAGTGGAAAAAAGAGAACTTTGAAAATGAAAAATAAAAGTCAGCATTTTCTTTCTAGTCTGAATTCCACCAGTAATCTATTTTTGGTCTGACTTTTTTACAGCATTTTTGGTTAGACTGTACTAGCCTTACAGCAAATTATTAAATCATCTTAGAATTATAAACTCTCAGCAATTGTTTTTTTGTTGATTTTTAACTATCTGTGGTAGTGAAAAGCAGTAGATACACTGTAGTCTATAGCAAAATTTTATTAGTATTATAGGAAAGAATTGGAGTTACATAAGATCTGTGTGCCCATTTATTTTAGATTCTGCAGGCTCTTGCATATTTCTCTCCCAGTAAATGCTAGCAGGTTTTCCCAACAGGGCCACCAATAAAGGCTGTTAATTATTTTTACATGTATTTTCCAAATTCTCTCACATTTGAACATGCACATACAAACCAGCCTTCCTTTCCATTGCTTCCTAATCATAATACAATCGAAAAATGTTTATTCTACCTCCAGTTGCCAGATGCAATCCTTTGAAAGGAAGGAAACTACACTTAAACAGAACATTTAACTTATCTCTATCTACTTTAAGTGCAACAGTGGTTACTACAAGAGGATGGGAAAATAGATGTTTTTAAAAACATGGTAGCTTGGGAAAGTTTTTTTTTCAGATTCATACTGCAGACAAAACCAACAAAAATCCACACGTGAGTGCTCACATAATCAGCAAAGCTGCTGTATCTTTCTCCCATGCTGGGAGAGATACTTGCCATACATGAATGGAAGTGTTTGAGCAGGAAAACCAGGATCTAGTTCACTGAAAAATCAAAAGAAAACTCTGTCAAAATGTGGTCTGATATAATCTTAGAGCCTATGAGAAAATAAAATCTTAAACTACAAACAAACCCTGAGTATTAAAAAATAGACCGAAATGTTCTACATCCTTGTTATTGCAGCTACTCTGCTGCTGCAATTGTAATGGGTACTTTGTTCTAATACCATCAGTCTTCATTTTTTATTTATTTGCTAAATTGTTTGCTAACATGAGAAAGAGAAGATCATTTATAATAAAAGCCCATCTGCATAGATTTGTGCAAATATAATTGCACATTTTAATGCTCAGACAAGGACGTATTGATTACACCTGAGATCTATTTGTTAACAAATCTGGGGCCATAGGAATGTATTTTTTTAAAGTAATTCCACAACAGATGCAATAAAGTACTTACAGCCATCCTAAGGAGCAAACCTGGTTGTGATTTCTGGCAGAAATAATAGTGCAGCTTCCAGGTAATTTATGAAACAGGTGAAGAAACTGTATTTCACAAGTGCTATGAAGAGCAGTGCTGTGTTCTCAGCATTCCAGCACAAAGGCAGCACAGCTGGCCACTGCACTGAACACACCTGTGGTGCTACAGCTGCTGCACAGCTGCTGTCCTTGCACTTCATGTCAAGATGGACTACTCAAATTTGGTACATAGAAATCATTAGCAAGCTTATTAAAGGTTATTAACCAATACTTGAGAGGCATTACTTCCGTGTGCAACTATAACAGAGAAATACAGAGTTAATCACATTGAAAACAGTGAAATGGCTGCAGAGAAAATAGTTATTTGTCTAGATCACAGACAATGAATTCATACTCAAATTCATTATGTATTGCCCCAAACAGTGTTCAAAAAAAATACTACACCAGGAAATACTGAACATCTATTTGACCATGAAATACAACTATAGCTGTCCCCCACCCCTTGGTAATTGTCAAGTGGTTGGGATGATCTCAGTAAGAGCAGACTTTTTTGTTAGATCCAAATCATTGTCAGGACCCACAGTGGAATCCAGGTAGGGCAGCTGAAATATGTGTCTTGTAGGTATGTGTTTTGTATTTTAAAATATTTTTAGAAAGAGACCCAATTTCAAAACTTGGTTTTAAATTAGGTCTCTTTATTTAATATTAAGGATTCATACTACCAAGATACAAACCCAGTTCATCTTATCTGTGTATACATACCCTTAAGTAAACTGGGAGACACGTGACCCACTAACTGGAAACTGTATTTAGGTGGGAGGAGGAGGAATTTTTTTATGCAACATAAGGAATTGTCAGCAATTCTTGCTAAGTAATGTGCATGAACACAGACCTAAGAAATTCTGCATTCAGTGGAAGCCAGTGAGGATTCAGGTTTTGCCTGAATTAGTGACATTTCCATAGCAGAAAGACACAAACCCTCATTTGCAATTCCTCAGCCATTGACTTTGAAAAAGCTTGTAACTCTATGCAAAATTTATAATTTAATTTTAATTTCCTGCATTGCATTAAATTACAAAGGTGTAAATATTTTACTTTTTTCATTGTTGTCTTTCCATTTTAATTACATTTGGGACAGACTTCTTAACCTATGATTGATTGATGCACAGGTGGAAAATAACAAGTTAATGATGGGACAGAGACTGTATTTCTTTTACTAGCTTTTGCTTTCCTTCTGGTTTATGCAGAGAGTCTTTGTGCATTTACAGAGATTTCCAGGGCTGGTTCTGAGCTTCTACCCTATGAGATACATACTCTACTGTGTCCTAGACATAAGATTTTTATTTCTTTTTAGTCAAATAATACATAATAAATCAGTTTGTAGAGACAATGATCTGATTAAGATTCCTATTAAATAAAAAATCTCTTCTTCCATGTTACTTTTTTAAGTTTGTGTTTAGCTTGAGCCAAGTAGTGCAGGGTTCAGTACACTTTGTTTTGCTTTTCAACAACTAATTTCAGAATAAATCCTTTTGGCACCTTGAAATCTGAATTATTGTTTTATTAGAACTCATGCCTGTTGCTCAAGTCAGAAAAGAAGGAAAATGTTTTTTTCATAAGGGTGTGTCCTAGCATATAGTTAAAAATAGTTTTTTTTCTTTCTCTAAGACTTTTCCCTGTGCATAAAGTAAATAAAAAAACTATTGTCTGAACTTGAAGCAGAAGAATAACCAAAAAAATCCTTAGGGTATCACTTAGTATTACAAAGATAAGCATCTCTGACCACAGAGACTCTTATAAAAAACAAGTATTTTTTAAATTGAGTTCTTTTGGGCATATATACTGTGCTCTCAAGCTGTTTCCTTGGCTCTCCTTGTGTCTCCATCCCCATTGCTTTGTTCTCCAGTGAAATAAAAGCCCTTTATGTTGACAAAACCATTTGTGTTGTTACTAGAAATACAAATGACTGTGCAGTCATCTATAAATTGTAAGTTGAGCAACTGAGAAATTGGTAGGTAAACCACCCCTCTAGAGATGGATACACAAAAGTTCATTGCAGTTGGTTTAGCATGTACAATTACTTTAGATGCCCTGATCTTTGCCTACTGGTTGTAGGCTTCAGGAGAGTTTTCACTTACTGTTAGAAAATAAATAAATTTCTTCTAAACAGTCCAAATATTTTCATATCATCTAGGTGACCCAGAGATGTGTGTCAAAGTATGAAATATTTCTTCATTCTCTTATTTATCAATTCTGCTGGTAGAAGCATTAATTACAGTCTCCTAGCTATATAAAGGAAAAAACTAATTAATAAAGGATTGTTCACTTGATTTACTATAAATTATAAAATATTTCCAGGGGGGAAAGAAAGATTCATGCAGCATTTACTCTCTTGCTATTGTAAAAAACAAAACAAAAAAAAAAGGGCATTGTTCATTTAAAAGAATAGCTTTTACAGAATGAGTCTATTTTTCTCCTTACCGGAAGATTGCAGGAACAGAACACAATTAATCCATTTACTGCCACTCCTGATTAAAGTGAAGATTTAAGGTCCTGCATATCCTGTTTTAAACTGATTTCAAAATGTCTATTTTTCAGATAATGCCAATATGATGGTCATTTCAGAACAGAGTCTGGAACACTGACTATTCCGTGGATCTTGGAGTAAATTAACCCTGTGTCCATCCAGACAAAAACTGGAATATGTTTGTTAATACAGCGCACAGATTACAACTTTCTCCCCTCAAAATTAGTAATTTTCATTACTGTTTTAATTTACAGTTCTCCAATTAGAAACATTCCCTCTGTTTTACTCTCAACTAAGGACTAAACAGATAGCTGAAGAGGATTAACTCCTCAATTAATAAGCCCTGCATAAATATGATTGGGACAACATGCTGAAGGGTGTGCAAGATTTGTACTCTATTACTACAAAAAAGATAACTTCATCACACATATCTGGTCTTAAGTCTATTAGCATAAAAAAACTAAAAATCTTGTAATATGGTACCCATGGCCAGCCTTTGACTTCAGAATTTACCAAACATCTTCATCATCTTGCTCTTCTCACTGAAAAAGGAATACTGAAATATCTAAGAACTTGTGCTGCCTATCTGCTTAGAGAAAGCACTGAAATCACAACTGCAACCACTGAGGATATGGTGTAACTACAGTAACTAACTCACCAGTTTTAAAGGAGATTAAGTATCAGAACTGATGCATTCACTTCAAAGGAGTTCAGTTTCTTAAATTCAGTAAATCTCAACATTTTTTTAAAAGACAGAAGGTATGGAATCCTGAAAATCAGGGCTGTATTTTATTCAATAGCAAAAGAAATAAAGTAATTCCTGTGCAATAACAGATCAACAGTCACAAAGCCAGTAATTTTGATGCACTTAGAGAAAAAAGTAAAATTTGGTTAGTCACCTGAGGTGACTCGCTGCTTAGAATTGTGTTTTCAGGTACATAACAAAATTGGAAAGTGAATCTGTTCCTACATAAACTAGGGCAGATTCTTAGTGTTGCCATTCTGCAGAGCCTGTTTCTTTCACAGCCGTTAGCTTTACAGATGAAAAGGAGCTGTTTAAGGTGAGGGAACTGTTGGCAGCAAAATAAACTAGTTTGGCAAAAGATCAGGAGGTTTCAATCTCCTGGCAAGAAATCAAAGTTTCCTTCCTTTCTTTGTTTAAAACACTTGATCTGCCATTCTCTGAACAAAGCATATGGAAAATTCTGAAGAGGTTGTCCATTTCTTTATTCCTTTCCCTGTCTGGAACTGAAGTAACCTAAGAGCCTTTAGAAAGACCAAATATAAGAATACATACTTAGTTTTGGTTCTCATGAGTAGTAGATCCTGGATTAGAGTGATGCATTAATGAATTATATGACTTTTCATCCAGGATCTCTTACCACATTTTCATTCACATCAAAAAGAATGTAACATCCTGATTTAGTATTGACAACAAAAAGATGGGGAGAGGAGCAAAAATGTGAACTGCAGAAATGAGAAAAATCACCTGGGGTGGTGGAATTTAGGAAAGCCAGTATTTGAACATTTCTTCATTTAACAGAGTAGAACTCTCATTATAGGATGTCTTAAACTAAAATGAAGACATGAAAATTCTTCGGTCGTATCAGACAATGTATCATTCTCAGATTGTTTTAAGCAGCATACAAACTATCCCTACAATTTACTAAAAGCACATTTTCTGATTTCTTCCTCTGTACTTGATGAAAAGATCCAGTTGAACATTTCAACTACAGAACACAGCTTCCCACATTTCTTCAAAAAGTACTGAGAATGTTGCTGCTCTTACTATTTATTAAATCAAACCAGATCTGAGTATCAACAGATGCATAACTGTAGAATTATTGCACCTTTTCACAGCCTCTCAGAGAGTTCATCCTCTTTAATGCAATAACTTAAACTTGAGATTTTCAGCTGTCTTAATCAAATATCCAGAATTAAGTCTTTGCCTTCACTCTATGCAGTGTGATATTTAAATTGGTCTCTTCAAACCTTACTTAATATTAGGATGAATATTTCAATGTGGATGCTGATTAAAATAGCCTGCAACAGTGTTACAGTTTATTTACAGACATGGACAATAGTTGTACTAAGGAACTGATGTGTATCTCCTTTTTGATTAAGAAAACATTCCTTAAACTACAGCCTAATTTTCAATATATGTAAATTTCCTATTTCTCATCTTTTTGGACAACAGGTAATTACTGATGTATCATTATCTTCTCAAGGTAGATCTGTTTTTACCAGCTTTGTCACAGTTTTGGGGTCAAAAATGTTACATTAATGTAAAATTGCATTAATGGATCAAGTCCTAGTAGGGAATAGGACAGAAGTTAGCCTGGAGGAAGGGATGGAACCTTGTAAAGAACAGAAAGAAAAAATTCCTCTATTCTTCAGAAAAAAATTTGCCTAATGATTGTTGTCAAACCAGATTCACAGATTCGCATGATTAGGATAGAATGAAACAGATTTAAGGCCAGATGCCATATTTGAGATTACTATTCTGTCAACTCGTCCTGTACAAGTTCACCAGAGTTTCCTCCTCTTGTTCATGACATCCTGTTGTCATGAATAAGACGTTGTTCATGGTATTCATTGTTTAAGGTATTATGTTTTAGAAACAGAAGCAGAATTCTTTTGCCTTGTTTGCAAATCAGGCCTCTTTCAAGTTGCTGCAGAGTAACAGGCTAAATTGGTAACTAGTGCTAGCAATTCTTCTTTATGATCCCAGTCTTATTACTAATAATAATTATAATAATGATCCATACTTCTTACTATGAATTTAATTCCTTCCTGCAAGGAAATGCACAAACAGGAATGCTTTACAGCCTTCCTGTTTGGTCCTGTTGTAGACATTCTCTCATTGGTTCCACTCCAACCATCCATTTTTATCAAGGAATAGCTTTACTGCCAATCTAGGGAAGCCATTCCTAACAGTGGGACTGATCTGACTCCATGCATTATGAAACCTGATCTCCTTCTGCCCACTTTCATAGTCCCAAAGCCACTCCTGCCTTCCATGCTGGTGATGGCAGCAGCAGGCTCAAGCCCCCATACCACAGCAGTGCTGTGCTCTGCTCTATGTCCTCTGAGAAGTCCCAAGAGATAGGAACAATCTCCCTCTTTGTAGTTCCATCGATGTATTTGCACAGACTGAGAACTAAGCACTGCAGAGCAGCACTGGAGTTAAAAGAAAGCTTCCAATGCTGTCCAAAAGGTGTGCAGTGGGAACAGAATGTATTGCTGTAGGAATGTTTGCAGAGAGGAGTCATTAACACATTTGTTCTTACTTGCAGTAGCCCTTTTACCCCAGCAATTCAAAAGTCACAAGACATGTCTAGCACATCCCATGTCATGCTTGCTTGAAGTCTTGCAAAGCAAACATAACTGAACATTCCTGTACAATAGCTGTTTTTTTAAACAGTTACTTCACTATTGTTAACTGAACTACAAGTTATGACAAGTGATATATCCATAGTCATCCCTCTGGCATTCTTTATAAAAACATGAATCACGGAAACATTCATCATGAGGAACTCCCATCATAAGGACATGTACACAGTGTGTCGTTCAGCCTGGCTGTATCTTTCCACTCTGTAGAATGTAACTGTCAGAACTTCAATGAATTGTACAGGCCAACATATAAGTTTGGTAAAGCACAACTGATAAAACACATGTCAGAATTCATTAGTTAAGTTTAACTTCAAGTAATACTTGTGTACAGAAGAAAAATGAAAAATTTCTTTCTTTGTAAGTCATTCTACCAAACACTGTAATAGCACCATATCAATGTACATTAATCAGAAAACAACACACTTGGAAGAACTGGCCAACTAACAAAGCTCAGACATTGTAAAGCATGGATGAAGAGCATAAACAAAGCATAAAGAGGATAAAAGAACTACTAAACCAGATTGTGCTTGAGCTTGGTCAACAGGAAAGGGAGGAATTAACCACTGCAGCTGCCCCAAAATTGTCAAAAGGAAAGGAATAGACCTAACATATCCAGAAGCCCTTTCAAAAATACTCATGGGGTTTTTTTCCCATGGTTTTTCCCACAAAAGCCTTTCACCACTTTGGGTCAATGCTAAATGGTGTTGACACCTGTTGTTTATGGTACCTTTAGCCGGTCCAAGATACAGGAAGTAATGTGTAAGTTTTCCTGAAAACTGAAATGGCTTCATTCAGAATTGTGCTGGTTTTATGGAGATGACAGGAAAGGGTACACAATGGGGTAAATGTAAGGACTATCTTTTATGCCATATAAAAGGAAAGGAACTCAGGAGAAGGGTGCTACCTACAAATACCACCAGGCATGTTTTCCCACGGATAAAGGTACTTGCATTCCAAGAGACACAGTGACACCCTCTGTGTTCTTACTCTTCCGCTTTTTCAGGCAAGAGATGCCAAAAAGATTTCCACTCCCAGGAAGAGTGCTAACTGGCAAGAATTTTATAGTAGCTCTGCTGAGGTTCAGACAGTTATATAAGTGAAACTCAAGAGAAATACCATGCAATGATTTCCTAAGAAGCATTATTCTTTTGGTCTGTTTTTTAAAAATGAAATACTTGATTGAGTGTTACTTGCTGTAATGAGGCAGGGCCAAATCATAAAATGTCCTGTGCTGAATTGAGCTGGTTTTCAGTTTCTGTCCATGCACTACTCACTGTGCCTGTGCAGCTCTCCAAGACTGCTGTGGCACAAAGTTCCTCCCTGAGCTTCCCTGACCACAGGGGACCTTTACCCAAACACTGCACATCAGGTCTCATACTGGAAAGTACCTTCTTCCACCTGTAGATTTCAAAAGGAATGTGTTTGATTTGGGAAAAATGTACACTTTGCTTTTAGCAGAACTCTCAGAACTGGTAGGATTTTCAGTGCTTCTGTAGTGCTATGAACCATAGTTGCTAAGATCTTAATTAAAATCCTATTATGGAGGAAAAAACACTGTATATAATAAAAATACTTCTTTTACAATTCATTACAGCATAAAGAGATTAAATCTTTTGGCATTAAAAAACTAATGATAAAAAGATAAAAGTTATTGCCACAACATTAAATAAGCAATTTATACTTTTTAAGATAAATAATGTCAGCATACTTATCCTCATCATAGATGTGGATATTCAGATCAGAAAAATGTTACAGATATATCATTAAAAGCTGTAAAAGTGACAATATTTTCAATACAGTATTATAAGCATTTTGTTTCTAAAAAATTGCTAATATTGAAAGTATATAAAACCATGCATCACTTTATAATTACAACTGTACAATTTCAGGTATCTGCTCTAAGTACAGATCGCATCTTACTTTAGTATTAGCATTAATTTATAGTTGAAGAAATAATTATCTCCAGTATTATATTTGTTATGATGCTCTTAGCTTAATGTAAAGGTACCTTCCCTAATAAAGATGCCACCTTGAAGATGTGCCAGGAATTTGCACACAGGTTCCTGTTACTAAATCTATTTCATACTGGAATAAAAAAGTGAACTACTTGCTGCAACACAAGGTATTTATTGACTAAATGAGCCTTTGCAATGAAACAACTGAAGGTACTCAGTACCACTGAGAAATAATCTCTGTGAACAATGATTTCATTAGGTTAATATTAATAACAAGCATAATTTTGTCTCTGTGCTCAGTGAAATGAGGGGAGTGAGGGTAAGAGGAACAGAGGTAGTATCAAAAAAATCTGGACTTGAGATACAAGGGAAAGGTCTTTCTCTTACACCTTTCAGAGCAGCAGGAGCGTTGTCGAACTTTAAATGATGTTCTTATAAGAACACATCAAGCCACTATGGATGTCACATTTTAGCTTGCTACAGTCAGAATTACGAAACAGTTCCAGCAGCTGGACTGAGTTAAACATGGCAGGAAAGACAACACTGTTTGTACAATGCCTGCAGAATGGCCAGGGCACCCTGTAACCTGTCACAAATGGCATTTAATGCAATAGAGTTCACAATTTAGTTTTTTAGATTATATTAGCACTCAAATGCATCTTATCTGCTGGAAAATGAGGCAGCCAAGTGAGACACCACCACATTGGCAAAGCAGAAAAAAGGGAGACAGCTAGAAGAAAAAAATTACAGTTTCAAATTACATAATTTCCTTTTGCCACAACAACTCAAGTAATCCATAACCACATGGTTATTTTCCTCCCCCACTCATCCCTCACTTTCTATCATAAACATCCAGTGACCTGGTCAATATTTTTGACTTGGGCCCTGCTCTTGCAACACTTGCATATTCATTTAAATTTACTCACATGAGTAGCATCTTTGGTTGCAGTAAGACAATTCACTGAACATGTAAATCTTTGGGGATTGTTGGCTTTTTGTTAAGGTGAGGCAGGTTATTAAAGTAACTTTGCTCCTGAAAGTTTAACAAGGAACTTTACAGTGGCAGGAAGAATTAAAGAACAAAGTATTTCACAGATTCCTTAAAAATTTTGAAAATAATTTTTAAAAGAGTCATGGAAAGTGCTAACAGGAATACAGAAATAATCTTTCTCCTGCCTCCTCTCCATGGTGCCAATAGAAGTTGTCCATGTCGTGAAAAGTGAATTTAGAAAATTAAAATAAATACTTCAAACTAACACATTCTTCTCTGTCATACACTTTGCCAAACTGTGCATTATCAAACTTCTGATGTGTTACTCTGAATGATTAATGAAACACTTAACATTATGGATCTCACTGATGCACATCCTGCTGGGATTAGTGACACCACAACATTTCTAAAACTAAATAATCCAATGTTATGCACACATGGTGTCCTGAATTCACAGATCTCATTAATGCAACACATTTTGCAAAATGCAGCCTTGCAGCACCCAGTATCACTGGGGATATGTGATTCTAATAAAACATTAAATTCTGGTTCTGTCTATACATAACCTCTTTCCAAATGGCAACTTGAAACTCAGTAGTGCACTGGAAAACCTACAGCCATTTCAGAGTACTGCTTTATGGTTCTGGAGGATTTTTGAAACAGCATTTCTATGGATTTGAGGTGTATCAATTTAGGACAAAAGTTTGATGCCACTAGCACTAACATGTCTTTCCTAGCTGTAATCAGGTGGTGGTTGTGGTGTTTGTGTTGCTTTGTGTTTTGTGGGTTTTTAAAAATGCATATAATAATAAAAGTTTTCTCTTTTGCCTTCTTAAATATACTAGCCTAGTATATTTACTACCACTGTGAGAGCTTTCTGCAGGTGGGAACAATGAGAAATAAAATCAATGGATGACAACAGTGGAAGCACTCTTGTAATCCATGCCAGGACGACATTGCTCTTCTCTCAACTTCCTCTGCTTTTCGCCATCTTTCAGGATCATCCTTCTCAATTAAAAGACCAAATCAGAATTCAGCTTATATTGTTTTAAATTATTTGACGGAAAGTCTCCATTCAAAAGGCAGACAATTTTATGGTCATAATTCATGAACAGGATTACCCACTAATCCTAAGTAAAATTGTTCTTGATTTTTCACTTCAGTATTAAGTATATAAAGCACCAGAAAAGCAAATTTAAAAGGAAAAAAGAACAATTCTTTTTCTACTCAGAACAACACAAAGTATTACCATTGTATTACTTAACTGTGACTAAAACACTTACAGTATTTAAAACTTAAGAGTTTGGGATGTGCTATTAGGCTATAAATAAATACCAATGCTGTGTGCTTCACATGACAGACCTGAGTACAGAAGACATTGTATATACAGGTTTTCCTCCTCTAAAACAGACATGTGAGTTAACACCAGTGTCTAGCCAAAAGAAGTCCTTGAGTTCAGTAGGAAGTCTGCTGTATGAAGAACAGAAAATGGGGCATTTGCAGCTTCCAGGACTCCAAGGAATGAAGCAGTTTCCACTTCCACTTTAGTCAATGGAAATTATGGCTGGATAGGTGACAGTGACCAGCATGTGCAGGGTCACTTTTAAAAGTTGTGCAAAGAACAACTGCCTATTTTCTTATCACAGAAAATCAGCAGGAGGCATCTCATGAGTAATACACTTCACCAGGAGCAAGTATTCATAGCAATATTCCCAAGTAATTCAATTTAGGTTGTCATAAAATTGAAAAATAAAAACACTTCAAAATTTGCATGAGAATCAATAAACATTTGAAGATAGTTTCAACTTGCATACATAATTTTTTCACCATTACAGCACTCAATAGTATAATGCATTTTTCAACTTGAATTAAAATCCACATTACACTGAAATAAATGTCTTGTAAGAAGTCAATTACAAATTGCTTTGGTCTATCTGTAGCTTAATTTATCACCAAAATACAGAAAAATTATCAGGAAATCTGATAAAAGTTTTAAATTGCCAAAAATAATGTGTATTTAATTGTAAATACATTTTCTTTGTATATAGTATTATCACTTATAAGAATACACTTAATAATAATTGATAAATGCTTTATTCCATTAAATTGGTGCAATCTTATCTTCACTCCATTAAAATAACTTTTGCAGAGTGTGATCCTGTTGCTCTTATTTCCAAGTGATATGTAGAGCTTTCTTTGTATCTTACGACAATTTGAACATATTACAATAAACCACCCAAAACCTAACAGAATTTAACAGACAGTCTGGCTAACCAGTAAGATTCCGAGTTTGATAGGGTATATGAGCTCCACTATCCGAGATTACTTGAAAATTAAAAAATCCTTCCTGAAAACTGTGGAACAAAGAGGAAATGTTAGTAGAAATAACAAGAAAAAAGGGAAAAACCCCAATGAATCATTGTACTCAAAGCAGTAACAATCATTTTCAAAAGCTTTTGCCTCTTCACTCTATCACTGCTTTTTGTATTTCAGAATTTCTAATCTAAGCTTCTTGGAGAAATATGGTTCTTCATTTGATTCGTCTCTAGTAACACAAAAATATCTCCTTTCTTACAACAAAGGAAAATAATATATTCAGCTGGTGGTCCTACATAGCCTGTCAATGTCACATTACACTGGCTGGTCTTCTCAAACAGGTGTACTGAGGTTTTGAAACAGAGTCAGAATATGGAAAGTTCTGAGGTGGATTCTACTCTTTTTGGTAAAGATATAATTACAACAACAAACAAACTCCTGACTTAGCTTCCCCTCCATTTGCATAACCTCCAGAAACGACTCTGTTGGGATCATTCAGTTCATCAAACAGTCCCGTTTCAATGATTTCTTCCTGCCAGGGTATAGGGACAGCACCTGTCGCAAACTTTTTGAAGAACTTCTTGTCTTTGTCATCAAACTCAATTCCTCGTATTTCAGAGAAGTCAGCAATGTCTGCAACATCTTTGGCATAGACAACTGATGGATCTGGCACAAATGGAGGGTCAACAAGGTTTGCCTCTAACCTGTGGAAATTTATAGTTTTGAAGAAGCTGTGTTTTCTTGGGTCATCATCTTCATTCCTGCAATAAAGCAAAAGTTTCTTCATCAGTGCGTTTTGCTCTCAGAAAGATATAGCGGTGTCTGTGTTTTGTACATGACAGTACTTTAGATATATAGATATAGATTATATATGTCATGCAACACAATTCCCTTTTTCCTAACCAAGGAATGCTGCATTGTACAACACAAGCCGAGAAGCTGAAAACATTCTGATCCCATGATTGCACCTTCAGGGTAACAGCCCAGGCAAGGTGCCATGCAGGAGCTGCAGTGCTGCATCCGGGATACCCCACCCAAAGCTACACTTCCACCAGAACTGAACCTACAGCAGGGTGGGAGGGGGAGTATTGGATCTACTGTCCCACAAGGCAATTTCAGTGACTGGCTCTGTATCTCTAGGATAAGAGTATCTGAACTATAGGGTAAGAATACGTATTAAACTCTAGAATGGGGTATATTGGGTTAATACATCTCTAGACTGACTCTGTGCAGCAACAGAAGCTGGTGACAAAAATTCTCATTTTATCTTAATTCAAAGCATCTACACATTTACAGCCTAAAATTCAGTTATGTCACTCAAATAAACACTCCCACTTATAGTGACAATTCATTCAAAGTAACTACTCTTATAAATTAACAAGTATTTTTTTAGGCAAGAGATTCACAGATGAAGTAGATGTGCTACTGTCACAAAAATATTCCTTTATTAATATAGTTAAAACCCAGTAATGAAAACAAGAAAGGACTAAATCACTGTAAATACTTAAGTTAAATAAATCTTACAAAAAACAACTGCAGACCTCGGGGAGAACTTCAGCTATAAAAAAACTAGTGAATTGTTTCACTGTAGACCTGCAGAGAGACATGTAGGACATTTTCTGGTGATAAAAATCATCTGAGCCACAAACATGTGCTTGTTGAAGCATGACCAAAGCCCGCAGCTTTTGAACTGTGCCTCTAGTGTCAAGCCATGCTAAGTCTGAATTTGGAATTCTAGAGAAAGGAGGAGCAGAGAGGAGCACTGTCTTTTCCACACCTAAGCATTCTTTGTTTAATGTATTTATAGATGCACTGCTCTTGAAAACAGTAATATAGGAAAATCAAATCTGTCTGCGTTTTGGCCTCAGAAAATGGTACTTCCTAACACGTTGCTTTTTTCTTTTCCTACCTCCTTACAAAATCAAACTTAGCAAAGTCTAAGCCCTCATGTATTTCTAGACAATGTTCTATGAATAAATATAATGCAAACTTTTGGCAAGTCTTTTTATCTTTGCAAGTGTACAGAAGCACCATATAGAAGCAGTAGATGTGTGTGATTATGGACAAATCTTTATTTTTTTAAAATCTTAATTTCCATGCATGCAGAACAGCTCATCTACCTTGGCACTACTGCCTGTTCCTCATACTGGCTCTGCTGTGTTTCTAGCCTGCCTTGGTGTTCCCTGTGCACAGCAGAGATGAAACTCTGTTACGAAACTCATAGATGAAACATCAGCTGCTCTTTTCAGCCCCTTACGAGAAAATTGTCTCTTTGTACCTCTGCTGCCCAGTTCTTCTGAGCAAGCCACCACTAGCCATTACCTACTGTATACCACCATGAATAAGCAGGATGCCACAACCTGAAGAATGGTAGATGCTGCCATCCAGGCATAGTGGGCAATGAAAAATATTATATTTTCAACCCCAAAGCACCATATGAACAAAGTTATGAGAGTACAGATTAAGGATCTTGACTTCTGCATATCCATAGGCTTGCAAAATCATCTACCTTACCTAGCCAGTGATAACCAAGTACTTGAGAAGCTGAAATTATTTATTTACATTCACTGTTAGCCTGAAATGCATTTCAGCTTCTGTTCAAGTTAACTGGTGTCCTGGGACACTGGTAAGCCAGGAGTGCTGACCGGGCAGAGGCACTCACAAAAATCTCCCTTTATTTTGCTTTTCCTTTCTGTAACATAAACCAAAAAGCACTAGAAGCTGGTGGAGGCTGCAAAATGGATTGCTGCAGTGTTCCTTGTCCTGAAACCATAAAAAGTTAAAAAATGTAAAGCTACATGAATGCCATCTACTGGAACTAAGACATCTTCCAACTAGCTGGAGATGAACTTGAGCTCATCCTCTGTGAACTGCATTTTTACATAACTTTAATAGGAAGAGCAAATGAACTCACATGAAGTTGGTCAATTTTGTATTCTTCTATTAAAAAAAAATTAAAAATCACTTTACAGGTTCAGAATCTGAGATATTAATCTCAAAAAGTTTGAGTGGAGAAAAGGGGTTACATCTTTCCTGAGTTAGCTAGTGAAATCACATCTTCAATAGAAGATAGGAGTGTTTTAAAAGGTCAGGTGTACAAAATAAAGCTGTCTTTGAGCAGCTTTAACTTATGCAACAGGCACTGCTGTGGATAACCCAAGCTCTTGTTGTCCTTAGGAGAATTACAGTGCTAATCTTTACATAACACACAGCTGTCCTGGATAGTATCACCCTGTTTAAGAGGTACATGTATGCTTTTATTCCAGATCATGCTCAAGGTATACATCCTATTTATTGTTCACCTTCTCCAAGTATGGCACATCAGATGAAGGATATCTTAAACAGCAGAAAATTAAAAATACAATGTGCAGTAACCTTTCTGTGTCCATTTCTCATTTTGCTGAGAAGTTATGGAACAAAAAGCAGACAGAAAGACTGTAAATTATTCCCCTGGAAAAGGCAATGTGGTTACAGTAAGTGAATCATGTGTTGTTGGTTTTGTTTCAGACTTGCTGAATGAACTCAACCAAGTCACTCACAGTTTCTAAATTTCATTTTCCCCTACTCTGAAATTTGTTTACTTCAAAAAGTGCTGTAAGTCCATATGTCTGCAAAGTATGCCGACTTTAAGTTAGAGTGCTCTGAATGTTTTTGTGTTAAAATGACTTTTAAAGTAAGCTTTTAAAACATAGTGAAACAATATAGATTTTGTATTAAATATACTCCATGTGCTGCTGAAAATAACTTTTTTCTGCTGTCTTGCAAAGTTGCTGGGAAAATTCATCAGGCACAAAAGTAGCTGTCTTCATTTACCAACAGAATATTAAGAATATGTATATTAATGATCTATTACCTCTCATTAGAGTTAATTCTTTCAGACAAATGTTTGCCTAACATTTTGAAAAACTGTTCCACATTGTTATGAAATATAAATCTAGAAGACTATCAATGCATTTTCAGTGAGACCCTTTGTCTATTCCACCTTTAGAATGGAAAAGTACCGGATACATATATTTGTATTCACAGATTATACAAATCACAGTGTATACTAAATATAGGTATTATCAGTTTCCGATTAATTTTTTACATTTTTATTATATTTCTTTAATTGTCTGGATTACAAATGTAGATCTGCAATTTAATTAGAAATGCACTAAATCATTTATACACACACACACACACACACACACACACATCAGAGGGATCAGAACTATTACAAGTTAAACATTACGAGGTTTAGCTTTGCAATTCTCTTCTTATTGAACAGTTCCTTGAAATTGCTAAGTCACGGACATATCTACCAGTCTTCATCAACTCAAAGCCACCTCTGAAGTGCCCAGAAATGTTTTGCATTATAGGAATTTGTGCCAAATATTCTTTTTCTCCCTGAGATGAGTCAGAATGACCAGAAATTCTATAGCATCTTTTTAAAGCACTTGAGCAAAGCAGAGGTTAAGGTCTCTTCAGTAAGAAGCCAATGATGCAGCCTTGCAAATTAGATATCTGCAGGGAAGAGAATCCACATTGCAAATCTGGATATCTGCCCACATCATTCCAGTAAGCGATACAGCCTAATATTCTGCACTCAGCCTGCACTAGCAGGGATGCAGGTATCCACTTGAATATCCTTTACCTTTAGGAAAGAATGTGTAAGAAAATCCCTTTTGACCCTTTCTCCCAAAACTATATAGAGTCTAACACAGAAAATAACAAGAAGGCAACTCCTATGAGTCATCTGGAGTGAGGATACATGATCACACTATTGCAACAATATTCCTTATTTCCATATTATCTTCAAAACTCTCCACCTCCTTCTTTCTAGAAGTGAAAGGGGAAATTCATTACTCTGTACAAAGTGAAGTTCCAACCCATTTTATGCAATGAGTAAACTACTGTTTGCAACTTTATTTCTCTTGTACTGAGATTGAGAAGGCATACCTGCTTCCTAAACGGTCCTCTTTTTTCTTAGCCAAAAACAGCTTGCAAATATCTTTTGCTTCCTCTGTAAAGCTGGCATGTTCAAATTTCACCTCATCTTCCAGAGTTCTTCTTCTAACCTCATCCTTATTCACCTTTTCTTTGAAATCCTTGAATGGTGTTCGCCCAGCAACCATCTCATAAATAGTACACCCCATAGCAAACCAGTCCACGGGATAGCTGTAGTCCTCTTCCTTCAGGATTTCTGGAGCCATGTAACCATTTGTCCCAGCCTATTGCAAACACACAAATAGGTTTACTTTACAATGTCAGTAGTGAAATGCATACAATTAAACAGACTATTCTATAATTATTCAAAATACTAGTAATTCTACTGATATATTTTAGATCTAGAAACCCTGACCTTTTTTTTTTAAATCTAGAATCGGTGAGGTATAACTTTTTTTAGAAAACAGACTATATCTCTCTTTAAACATCTTGGCACATGAGAAAACTTCTTAAATATGCTTTTCAAAGTTGAAATGTCAGTACAATTTCTACCTAAAAGTGCTTTAATTTTAAATTCAGGGCAAGCTTGCTTTCTTCCTCAATTTAATTTTTTTTCATTGAAGATATTCTTAGTTTTATTGTGTAAACACAAGTAGCAATCAATGTGAAAATATTTTAAAAAATACAAAAACCAGGAAAAACAGTCACAGATTAAAACAGTCACTGTGCAATAGTTACATAACTGGTCCAAGACAGGGCTCTGCTGCCAGTGAGAAAATTCTTATCAAGCCATTAGCTGAGCTGCCATAAGGAAGTTCTCAGCCACCTCCTTCTTGGTTTCTGGATAAATGTTCTTCCACCAAGGGCCAAGAAAAACTCTTAAAAAACACTTTAAGAAAGTAAACCTATGAAAATTATAATTCATAAATTGCACACACTTGGGTGCAGGAACAAATTCATACTTCCTGACTAAAAAAAGATGCCTGAATAAAGACTATTTACAGCACTAATGGCCCATTTTCTGAGAGAAGAAATGGCCACTCTTTGAGAGGGACATCTGCCTGCTTTCTTCCCAGCCCAGCCCTGCCACTTGCCCCTTGGGGGGACAGGCTGCAGTGACTGAAATAGCTCCTGCTGCCTCTGTCCCCAGGGAGCTGATTCACCTGGGAGGGCAGTGAAGGGATCAGCTCTCTCTGTTACATGACTGAGGATGTGGGATTCCAATTGCAACAGCATTTCCTCAGCTGAACCCACATTTACTGCTGCGTCTCATGCTCTGTATCACGTATTTAGCAGATCCAGCTAACAGTGATAACCATGTCAGAAGTTGCTTGAACCTCACATATTTTTTAAGTACTGGGACTTAGATATTACCAGTATAACAATTTAAAATAACAAACTGTGTCTGTGCAAAATCCCACTAAAACTTACTCAAGATGGTCATTATTACTGCTATCAGAATACAATCAGTGACAGAGATTCACTCCAAAGCAAAACAGTTAGAAAAAGGTAAAGCTAAGCTCATTTGGACAAATTGTATCTATAAAAACAGCAGCTCAACGGATGAATTTTATTTTATGGCATTAGATAACCCCTCTGATTTTTGCAAATTTAGGCCTAGTACTTCCAAGTCAGGTCTCCCCATAAGCTTCAGCTTGTGTCAGTACACATTATGATATATAATGTCTCTGCTGTAAACAATGTGTGCAAGAGGGAACATTTTAGCATCAATTAAAGCATAAGCCTAACAGACAGAAAATTAAATCCACTTAATTGTCTCTCTTTTTAGTTTTTTTGTTTTGTTTGGTTTTAAAGATATAGCGCAAAGTCATCCATTTGGTTGAAAAACAGAAATGGGATGAGAAGAATAAAAATATCAGTCAGATTGAAAGCAAAATGGAAGGTTGAAAGTGAACAGTTGCCTCCCTCACTAAAGCTACAGAAGTACGAGGAGCAGCACAGGCACTGCTGCTGCTGACATCATCCCACAGGCAATTTGTACTGCATACAATTGGGTTTCTCTAACAAAAATATTGAGAGATACCCTGACAGTATTATATTTCTAGGTATGATTACTGCTCTGTTCCAGTAAGGGGACAAATGCTCAAACACAGATCACAGACCCCAGATCCATCTGGCTTCAGAAAAACTTGGAAGGAAGAGGAGAGGTTAAAAGTAGTAGAGAAATTTTGATACAAAGGCTTGCACACAGAGCTCACTGTGGATTAGTAAACATAGCTCTAAATAGGTTTCTGGAACTTTTTTTTCTTTGCTTTTTTTTTCTCCTTCTGGGAAGCAATAAACATTCTTATTTTTACTGAGATGAAGCTGGGGCACTAATGCCTTGAAGAACTATTGAGTCACATTATCATCAAAATGTGCCCTGACAGCACAATATGGTCTTACCGATAAGAGATTACTTTGCTGCAACTTAGCATCATCATACAGAACCTGGATACCTCTGACATGGAAAAGTCAGAAATCTACTGTCACAAATGTGTCTCAAGGCAGATCCTTTCAGACTGTCTCTTTAGTTCCACTTGCATTTTCTCTTCCACAGCTGTTTTTTCAAAAGAAGTAGTTGCCAAGTAACTTCAGTCTCTTCACAGGCATTTTCAACATAGCCTCTAGCAGGATATACCATCTGGAAGAACACCATGCTTTGACATGGTGCTTGTGTTTCTCAAGAACAGAGAAAGCAAGGCCATCACCAAAGACCAAAAAGACAGCACAACCACAACTTAATAGAAAACAGAACTGACTGACAACAGCCTCCCTTCAGGCTAAAGTGACAGGCTGTGGATGAGCTTAAATGTAAACAAGAACTAAACTTCAACACTCTAAATTACTAGCACTGGAATCTTGAGCTATTACTGAGCTGATCCAACTCCATCTGAGAAAGTCTAGAAACATGTCATTCCTCTGATATGCCAAACCATCCCAATTCAGAATTTAATGAGAGCTGATTTTCTCATAGAATTTCATCCAAACTTGAATCTAAAAACAAAACTCTCCCAATCCTGAAGCTTTCCTTCTATTCACAACGAAGGAACAGCCTAAGAAACAGGAAATCTAAACCTAATCTCATAAGATTTGAGACTTAAAACCCACTAAAACAAGACAATTTTCAGCAGAAGCAAACACATTTCAAAAGTGAACTTATGAAATTTTTTAAGGGGATTTTTAAGGGGGAAGAAAAACTATAAAAGATTTTTAAGGGGGAAGAAAAACTATAAGAGGGGAGAAATACATAAATTTCTATTTTTATCAAAATAGGAATTTGAAGAAAGGAAGAAAAGAGCTTAAATTTTAATCTTTTCCACCTATGTCTCTATATATGTAGTTTTGGCAAAATGATTTGAGAAGAAAGATGCTAAAGCCTTTAGAATTTGCTGTATTAGAGAACACAAAAAAGGAATTATTCAGCACCTAGAAGAACACAGATCCTTCAAATGAAGATTTAATTCTATCTTTGGAGACTAGGCAGCATTAGAAGGAAGGTAATACCTATCATCCCTATACTAATCATTATAGAGAACAAGATGTAAAAATCAGATCATCTTTCCAGGAACAGAGATCCTAGGGCAACAGGAAAGGCAGCCTCAGTAACCTCAGGAGAGATTTATGTAATGAGGTAAAACAGAAGTTTTGTGAAGGGAGTTATAAAACTGTACAACTCTCACTAGAAGTGAAATCTGAGCAGCAAAAAATAACGTATTAGGTGGAACACTTATCCACTGATGCCCATTGCAAAAGTGAATGAAAGTAAATTACTTTTAGCAGGTGTGGAGTACATAAGCATACTGTAAAGTATATTCTAGTGAAAAGATGAAAAGAAAGGACAGAAAGCAAAGAAATTAAAAGCTACCACAAAAGATAAATGCATTATTTTTTTCAAGGGGTCTATTTCCCATGGGCTGGTACTGAATATTTAATTCAGTTAGAATTATCTGACCGTGCCTCAGAACTGATATCTCCAAGTATGGGATACTGATATGTCTATCATACAAAAAATCAGTTGGTTTGTATGACCTTGCAGATGTTTTCATTCAGTACAATTTATAAGTAAATTCAGAAGCTGTATATTATATTTCTTACTACATCTTACTTTCCATGGATAAATTTCACTCTTTTAATGGAAATGGAGAAAATAAAAAACCCATACTCAAAGTTAATTCCTTTGTTGTCAACTTTACACTACTAGGATGTTGACTGGGTTTTGACTGAGACCAAGCATATTATTCTCTTCTTTCCTGTATAATTCCTGGTAACACAAGGAACCATTTGAACATATGTGTTAACTAATCAAGTGATCTTACAGAGACACAAACACATGATATTACATCTTCACTGACCTGGAAACATCTAATAAAAACATCACAAAGAAGACAAAGAATGTTATATTATCCCAACTTTTTTACTAGAAGAATGCTATACTATCCCAACTTTTAATTTATGCCATTGTAGAGGCACAGAACATTTTAAAGTGTAGTGAATACAACACTAGCTATTTTTTGCCTGCTCTCGATCTAATATGGTCTTTTGTGATAAGCAGGATGATTTACTTGCATATGCTGCTTGAATTATAAAAATAGTCAATATATTTCAGTCAATTAAATTTTAATTGATCTGCTTTTGAAAAGGATTCACAGATCTACTTTCCCTTTATTTCACTACCTTGAGAACAACCCAAAAGGCAATTTTTCAGTAACCCTCTAAAATGTAATGAGCAAATGCTGCCCTTGGCTTCATTAGCAAAGAAGCTCCACTGAGTGGAATTATTGCTTTGAGTGTGATTTGACAGGGCATAGTAGAAATGACTCATCTGAAAGTATACAAATGTTTCTTTTGTGAAATGCGATCCTGCATAAATTTTTCAAAGGTCACATAATTATAATCTTTTAGTAATTGAAGATGTGATCCTGAGAAGCACTAAGTGCACTCAAGATCCCAGTGCAGTCAAGAGGCACTTGGCACAGCAGAGCTCGGGGCAGAAGCAGGCCCGCAGTGCAGCAGCTCACGCATCCCTGGGACTGCTGTCCCGACCGGGGACAGCCCCTCCAGCACTGCCCCTGTGCCAGCTTCCAGCAGGTGCAGGCAAGAAGGAGACACAACTCTCTGGAGCTTTCAGCAGCACAGAAACAGGCAAATGGGGAGAAACGGGACTGAGATCTTGCTACCTTTTCCCACAGATCTCTGCAAAACAAACTCAATTGATATAACAAACCAAACAGTAAAGCAAATCAGAATGTCTATCTTTTGTTTGCCATGGCACAAGAACTGT